TAACGGACCCGGGGCCTTCTTTCAATAATAGTATATTGTCTCAGGCCCCCCTTGTTGTGTTCTATAACAAGGGCACATGCCTGGGTTTTAGGCCATGGCCCCCAGCAACTGCACATTGATACCTCTCTCTCTCTCTCTCTCTCTCTCTCTCTCTCTCTCTCTCTCTCTCTCTCTCTCCCTCCTCCCTTCGCTCTCTACAAATAAATAAGTAAAATATTTTTTAGAAAAGAAAAGAAAATGGGCTTCAGTCTCCTTATACTAGCAACCTATTTCAAGCCATCACTGACAGCTACAAAATGGCCCCTTGTGATTTGATTTTCCTGGCGAGGACAACCTTAACCCCTGCTTAGTTTAGAGTTTGGCATTCATAATATTCTCTCTGAGGCCCTAACCAGGCAGCCAAATATGCACAAATGAATAATCCTGTCACACTCCCTATGCAGCCTGGGTCTGGTGTTTTTGCTACCACTGCAGACTAAGCCAGGCTTAATCCTCAAGATTTACTCAAACTGCTCAAATTGCTCTCAGAGCCATGAAGGCTGTGCCGCATTCTAAGGCCAAGGAAATGTCTTCCTTCTTCAATATCCATCAGGATGCTACAGAGGCATGTATTGACCATATCTATTTCCTCCAGGAAGTCATTGAATGACAAATTGATAATCATAAAGCAGCCAAGAATCTTTCAAGGCATTAGCTTATGAAAATGCTAACAAAGACTGCAGGGCCATTATAGGACCCCTGCGAGTTACCACCAGAGACATCAGTGAGTTTAGCAAGGCTTGCCAAGATGCTGGCACAGAGCAGGATAAGGACTCTCTGTTGGCTGTTGCAATCAAGGGAGATCTCAAGTCTTATAACTGTAGAAAGCCTGGTCGCCTGCATGAGGAATGTCCATCCACACTGAGAGGGAGCATAGGTAATAGGAAGCTTCCTCCCCCCACCCCAAGGACTGCCACACTGTGGCTATGGCAGATACTGGGCAAAGGAATTCCACTGTAAATTTGACAAAAATGGCCAACCTATTCAGAGTAACTTACAAGGGGGCACCCGCACCATGGTTCCCAACCCCAGTCAGAGCTTTAGGAACAGCAATCAATATCAGAGAATTTAAGGAAATGCAGTTTCTGACATTCATGCAGCCACCCACAGAAAAACATGGCTGGACATAGTCACCACCACCAAGCTCATCTTAAAGGAACAGGATCAAGTAACTGTATCTCCTCCTGGTGTCTGGGGACCTCTACCCCCAGGAAGAGTCAGTGTAATCTTAGGGAGATCCAGTATTCCTTCCAAAGGCATTCTCGTTCTGCCAGAGGCCATTGACTGAGACTATTAGGGGAAATTAAAATCATGCAGAAAGCTTCTGGCTATTATATTATTGCCGCTGAAATGCACATTGCCCAGCTGCTCCTACTCCCCTATGTAACCTCAAACACTCAAACTACAGTGAGTGGAGAAGGAAACTTTGGTAGTACAGATAATTAATCAGTTTTGGGGACACAATCAATTAAGTTAAATAAACCAAGCTTACCTCAAGTCAGGGCTTAGTCTTTAATGGTGCATTAGAGCCACTGAGAAATCCATGCCTTGTGAGTCCAGACAACACTGCTGTTGCAGTGTTAAGTCTGGACAGCAGGGGGCACCTGAGACCCATGAGCTCAGGGTGGCTACTTCAGGATCAGGTGCAGAGGGAGCTGGGAAGAGATTTCCTCTGAGGGCCTGCATCTTCCTCTTGTCATAACAAAATATAAATTAAGAGCTGCACATGGGTGACTGTAAATACCCAATTCCATCAGAGCATTTACCAAACTCAATAAGGCATGAGGACCACAGTCAACACGGGTATTTTTATGATTACTTTATATCTGAATTCTAAGGAGATAAACATAGGGATTATTTAACTAACTCACTATGTGGAAAACTTTGAATACTCACTGGCCTAGTAATAGGACATTGAGGTATCAAGGCCAGACTGCTCCAGGTGGTTTCTGTGTCACTGAAAGGTGGATTCAGAATGAGGAGCATGTCCTGTGGGGGCTGGTTCCTCATTGGGAGAAACTGCACAGAGCTCAGGGACCAGCCAAGGGGCACATGTCCTCACATGAGGTTTAGGACTTGGTCCATCAGACTCCCACTGAGCCCTGTCTCTGTGCCCTGTGCCTTCTCTCAGGTGGGGTCAGCACTTCAGCTATGAAACACTTTGCTACATGCATATGTAAAGGAGAATAGGTAGACTAGGTTGAATGTGGGTCTGTCTGTGCCCTGAGAGCATCACCTACAGCCACACACTCCCCTACAGACTATAGGCATACTGATGGCAAAGCCCCTCACCATGGACTTAAGCTGGAGAACCCTCTTCCTGGAGGAGGTGGCTACAGGTAAGGGACTCCCCAGTACCTGGTTTCAGGAGTGGGCCTGGGAAGGTCGAGGGGTATTTCCACCCACTCTTGATTCCCCTCTACAGGTATCCACACCCAGATGTAGATGGTACAGTTGGGGTCTGAGCTGAGGGAGCCTAGATCCTCAGTGAAGGTCTCCTGTACGGCTTCTGGATACGCCTTCACCAACTACTGGATGCACCTGGTATAACAGGCCCAAGAACAAGGGCCTGAATAGAAGGGAAAAATTGATACTGAAGATAATGAAACAAACTACACACCAAAGGTCCACAGCAGACTCACCATGATTGTAGACAAGTCCCCGTGCACAGCCTACAGAGAGCTGAATAGCCTGAACAATGACAAGATGGCTGTGAATTTCTGTGCAAGAGACAGAGTTTGATGACTCACACCCTGAGTGTGTAATAAAGTCTGAGAGATGGGGCAGCTGGTCTGGGCTGAGGACATAACAAAGCGATGAGCCTCCTGACTTCCCTCCACACAGTCAGTATCTGAGACAAGGACCGGTGTTACCACATGCACCTCAGACACTCGGGGAGCCAGATGCACTGCAAGGAAGTGTCTGGGAAGATGCTCCTGAGAGGGCCCCTGTTGTTTACTGTAATCATGCAGGGGGACATTGGGAGCCTCCTTGTCCTCAGAATGAGGAGTGTTCATGGAGGTGTCATCTGGGAATCCTTGGTGTGGTCAGCTTTGAAATTAGACTGTAGTGTCTCCTAGAAAGTTCTAAGACACTATGCTATGTCTGAACAATGGAATGTGTTTGGGAAAATGAAAGTACTTTAAAGTCAAGAAGAAATTTCTGTTCTTGCCTCTGACCAAACATCACATAGATGACACTGTGGCAGCAAAGTCAAAGGTTGGCAGGTGTTCCAGGTTACAGCTCAGACTGTGACATCTCAGTGTTCCTTCACTCCTCCCTCAGGGTGAGATCCTAAGAAGTCTCACCTGAGACCACAGCCGTGTGATTGCCCCTGTCCCTTGGCCACTATTTCTTTAGAAATTTTTTTATTAGTTCATCTTTGGAGAGGGAAGGGAGGGAGAAAGAAGTGAGAGGGAGAAACATCAATGTGCAGTTGCTGGGGGCCATGGCCTGCAACCCAGGCATGTGCCCTGACTGGGAATCAGACCTGCAACACTTTGGTTTGCAGCCCACGCTCAATCCATTGAGCTACAGCAGCCAGGGCTGTCCCTTGGCCACTATTAATGTCAGCACACAGCAGGGATCAGGGTGGGGACACCCTTAACAATGGAAGTCCCACATCCAACCTGCATTATATTCCTATGACAACTGAAAAAAAAATCACACACCTGGCACTGCCATCTATACACATTTATTCTTGTAGAATCTGGCGGTCAGAGCGAGTGTGTCAGCAGAAATGAGATTCATTTACCATCCCTAGGAATTCAGCCCCATGCATGCAGACCCTTCCCTATATTTCACATTGATACATTCCGTTCATTGGGTTCAAGTTCAGTGGACACCCATCAGAAACAACCAGAGTGGCAGTTTCCTTGTGTCTTATGCAGACATGAATAGGGACAGAGAGAAAGAGGAAATGTCCCTTCTGAAATTAACTAAAGATGAACCAGGGATCCTAATCTATTCCATTTCCTGCTCTCTGATTACAGCTACTTCACATGTGCATGTAAACACAGATCCTAAGAGTGGGCATCAGACTGAACCGGCAATGATGAACAGTTGTAATATAAAGTTAGATCCACCAGATCCAGTAATGGGATGTGTTTTGAATGACTTATTCATCCTGTAATCAAGGGATAAATAAAAATAATATTCTTCATATAAATTCTGATTTTATGTACATCAGTTATGTTCTATGAGTGGTTTGCATCAAGGTTTCCATAATCAAACTCCTAAAATGTCAACATACTTACTACCCAATTTCTACCTACATCTTCAGCAAAGCAGATCTGGTCTTGACTGAGTTTCTTCTATGTCCAAATATCTGAATCTGGTTTTACTGCAGAGTCTAGCAAAGGAAAACAAAAGGAGGCAGTGAGACTGCTGCACATTTAGCACCACATTCCATTGTATGAACATGACCTGGGAGCACAGTGTGCTTCTCTGTAGAGTTCACATTTTTGTCTCCCAATGATTGACACAGACCCTCCACCTCCTCCTACACTGGGTTCATGGACTCTAGGGCCACCTTCTGTTCTTATTTCATACTCTGATTGCTTCGTAGGGGGAATGGGGTAAATTGGAACTTCCTGTATATGAACAAACACCCATTGCTCTTTTAATTCTCCCTCTGCTTGTGAGCATTAAATCCTCTCAGTGAGTTAATTACTGGTGAATTTCAAAGGTATCACTCATGTGAAATCCCTCTATTTTATGAGAATTTACTCTTCTAGGTCATGCACCATCTTGACCCTTCGATGTGTCACACTCTGGGACCATGTAGTTCATATCAGCATCCAACACCAGAGCTCCCTATATAGCAGAAAGGGGTGCAAATGGGGCTTCTCTGATCATGTAAAGCAGCCCAACCCTGACCCAGCAGCTCTGGGACAGGAGCCCAGCAAAAAATCCCCAGGAGTTCCCAGTCCTTGGTCAGGACAGAACACAGACCACTCACCATGGAGTTTGGGCTCAGCTGGATTTTCCTTGTTGCTATTTTAGGAGGTAATTTACGGAGAATGGGAGATACTGAGCATGCGAGTAGTTATGACTGAGAGAAGCGTGGAGGGTGAGAGTTTCCTAAACAACATCCTTGTCTTTGCAGGTGTCCAGTGTGATGTGCAGTTGGTGGAGTCTGGGGGAGGCTTGGTGAAGCCTGGGGGTTCCCTCAAACTCTCCTGCCTGGCCTCTGGATGCACCTTCAGTAGCTGCAATATGCATTGGGTCCGCCAGGCTCCAGGGAAGGGGCTGGAGTGGGTCTCATACATTAATAGCGGTGGTATTTACGCAAACTACGCCAACTCTGTGAAAGGCCGATTCACCATCTCCAAAGACAATGGCAAGAACATGCTTTTCCTGCAAATGAACAACCTGCGAGCTGAGGACACGGCCGTGTATTACTGTGCTAGAGACACAGTGAGGGGAAGTCATTGGGAACACAGATACAAACTTCCCTGAAACACGAGGTCTGGGCGGCTGGGGGTGCTCAGGACACCAGGGGGCGCTCAGGGCACTCCGAGCACAGAGATCAGCTTAGGAGCCGCTGCAGATGCAGTTTAAGGGCTGGTTTCCAATATCCCTCTGGAAGTCTCCCCCCCTCCCCCCCTTTATGCTTATGTATTGGCACCTTCAGTATCTGAGTTACAGAGGCTTGTCATAGGAGGAAAACCCTCTCACATGCTCCAAAGTAAAGAAGCACATGCATTTGTTTTTTCTTATTCTAATAAAACATCAATGAATCATCAAACCTCCTGATCCAACTCAGCTGAATCCAACCAGAGGCTCTTCTGGAAACAACAATCATCCCCACACAGCTGTTGAAGCCGACCAGCAGCAAGACACATGCATGCTGGACAATGGCCACCACAGTTGTAGGAACCCAGTCCCAGAGGGGGAGGGAACAGGGATGATGATCATTGACTTAATTCCACATTCATGTCATCAACAGAATTTGACATCTTGTGGATGTAGAAGGACCCCCACCATACCATGGTGTGGATATCCAGGGTGATGATGTCACACACACAGAGGGACTATGGAAAAGTGTGTCCCTTCATTGAGGAGTCTGTTGAGACTAGGGTGGACTTTTCAGCAAGTCAGGAGTGGCTGCATCATATCACATAAGGGGTCTGGTCTAGGTTTTATTGTTCACCCCTGAGCAGGGTCCCACTCACAGGAGTGGTTTGTGTGGCTTCCTTCTCCCACCTGCATCAAAATATGGAGAATCCCTACTTCCATGTCAGATTCCTCAGGTGTGCACAGGAGGAGAGAGAGTGCTGAAGTTTCACATGTCAGCATCAGCCATCAAACACTACAGCCTGGCTCCTTATTTAATGGAACACCTAGGAAACATGAGTGAGAACACAGAGCTACCAACCATTATGGGTAGAAAATGATTTCAGTCCCTAGAAAATGAGGGTGATGTTACATCCAGCAAACTCGAGAACAAATATCGGAGACTTTCAGGGTATCAAAGATGTTACTTTATTGGCCAAGTTTAACCTGCGCAGGGGCAAACTCTCAAAGTGTCCAGCGACACAGTGCCTACAAGGAGCTGCAAACGAGAGCCGCATCAAGCGCTCACAGCTAGGTTCTTATATAGGGGTTTTGGCTCGAGCAAGCAAGCAAGCGTTTTACAGAAGCTGATGTGGCAGTTAGCTATTTGCTTACAGAGACCTCGCTCGCGGGAACAGGGTAAAATTCAAATTTTTAAAACTAAACAAAGCATTGCTTATTTAGCAGCCCCAAGGGAGAATATTTGCATGACACAGGGTGTTTGCTTAACTACATCCTACACTCTGTCTTCTTTGTTAGTTCCTTTTAGCTACAATGCGGTTCCTGTTTACTAAGGTCACATTTAGTTCTTAATTTTCTTGTTCCCAACAGGTGATGGTTATATGTAAGCCATAATGAAAATAATAATACATTACATGACATCTTAGTTTCATTCCAGCATGTAACCTGTCCACTCTAACAAGGTCGTCAGCTTGATCTGAAAGACTTGAGTCCCTTTCTGCTCCCAAAGATGAGAACCTTCCACAGAATTATGGGAACCTTGTTTGGGGAGCTCTACTGGTGTAGCTTCCCATCTGGGTGGAGTTAGTATTTGATTCATTAGTTGTTTCTATGAGCTTGTGTATTTGTCACTCAAAATCTCATGTATTAAAACCAGAGGCCCATGGGTGGTATTAGGAGGTGGGGCCTTGGGACAAGTGTTGGTCCTAGGGTGAAGCTCTCCTGAACAGCATTAGGGCCTTTATAACAGAGGAGTCAGGAAGCTTCTTGCCCCATCCACACTCTGAGATAACAGTGAACAAAGAGCCGACTAGTAAACAGGTTCTTACTAGACATCAAATCTGCCAGCATCTATTCTTTGACTTCCCACCAACAGGTCTGTGAGAAATACATGTTTGCTGCTGGCAGGGACCCAGTCCACAGTAGTTTGTTACAGCATCCAGAATGGATTAGGGTTGTAGTGTAGTATGACCACAAGGGCTGACTTCTTGGAGATTCACTGACATATTTATTGTAAAAAAGTATATCATGGGTTTCTTTCCAGGATATTCTAGGGCAGTTTTTCTTAAGTATTTCTCTTCCACAGACCAATTTCCTGGGTGAAGGTCATAGGAGACTCCTAAACACATGCAGCAGGAAGGCAGCATTAGAAGTGCATATAGTCCGTGAACCATTTCAGTATTTACCACACAGCATGGAGCCAGGTCTAAGACTCACTGGAGGTAGGATCCACAAAGACATGGTCCTCCCAGTCATCACATCACAAGGAACTGGCTGATGTGTGCTTGAAGGCATGGACAGGAACAGCACTCAGGAGGAACATTGTCCATGGATGTTTGTGGCTTCATTTAGGTTTGATCATTTTAACTAAGCTTGTCATGTTTTCAAACTTCTGAGAGATTATATATAATAATGGCATTTGGTTCAGAGTAACCTGTTACCGAATAATTCTGACTGTGCTGTGCCCACCTCAGTCACTTGATGTCAGAGTCCACAAGCCATTGGGGGATGAGGGGAAAGAGGTTGAGCACAGAGTATGTCCAGAGATGTTAAAATTTTCCACATGTGTTCATACATTTTTGCCACACTCTCTTGATGGTGATGGACTCCCAGGACACAGACGAACTTTGGGCAGGGGTTCTGTCTCAAAAGCACAAGGAGCAGCCCTTCAGACGCTGATGATGGGGATCAACCTCACTGTGTGAGTCGATACATGAACAAGGTTTTACAGGGTATTTATTCTGAGCTGAAGAGCATGAAGCACTGGGCTTGTGGAAGATCTGTGTGGATTAAACTGTGCTAACTGGGCCAATGTTAGAAATTAGAAACAATAACTCTAAAGAAAGCCAACTCACTAGCATCTTATAAAAGCTCATAAATGAAGAAATTGGGTATTTACTATGACTTCCTTTATTGTTTCTACCAAAGTAGACACCTTTTGTATGACGATATATAAATTTTTCATAATTATATGTGTACAGGAGTTTTGGGATTTAGAAACTGAACAAGGAAAAATCCTTTTTTAATTTGTAAGATGCATGAGAATCTAAGTGTTTCCTACTGATCTAGTTCGCCATTTATTCTTATGCTCACAAAAGTCAGGCTGTCCTTTGACCTCATTCCATTGTGTCTAATAAACCAGGTGATCACCTACCTCTAACAAGCAAGGTAAGTGAATTCAAGACCAGAGACATGTAGGAAAACTCTGTGCATGGTGTGGCAATGTAACTCAGCACTCACATGGAAAACCAGTGGGGAGCAAGTGGCACACAGGACCATGCCCACAGAGAGATTTTCCCATGGGGAATCATTCCTGCGTTGCACCTAGACTGCTATGAGACTTTCTTTTGCTAAAACTCCTGCACCCTGAATTGAGGCAGCAAGGGCTTACTACAACTTCCTAAATTCTGAACTAACCCTCCCAAATATGGAATGTGACTGGTTGAACCACTTTTCCCCTTGGTCTGCAACATCCTTCTCATTGAAATAATTAGCAACATTCCTTCCTTTGTTATCTGTAAAAGGCAGTCCCCTGAAGTGAACCTGTGCATAGTAAAGGAGGACTACCCTCCATATAATGTACCCAGAGAAACAATAAAAGGCTTTCCAGGCAGAGACTGGGCTTTCTTGGCTTCTCACCCTTTTTCTCGGAGAGTGGCCATGCTGTCCCCTTTTCTCCACAGGACTTCTTTAGTATTTGTTCATGAGAAACCACAACATACATGGATACTGCCAACCAGGATCCTCCACAGAGACATCACAACAGAAGCCCTAGAGTGACCAGGGTGACTGTCCTCTGTCCCTCTCCACTTATAGGAGAAAGGCTTGACCACAAGCAAATTTCTCTTCCAGCTCCAGGGCACAACCTCCCCTGGGCTGTAGGGACTCATAGCTCTCTCCTCACATGGGGCCAATGTCTCTGGAGTAGGTAGTGCTGTGCTCTAGAAGAAGATGAGGTTGTTGTGTCTATTCCTGTGCCTGGTGACAGCCCCCCAGTGTCAGTGCCTCAGATGTCAGACATGGGTATGTGGGATGGTGTTTACTACATGTGACTGACAGGGACAGATGCACCTTGTCCCCAGGGGTCCTGTCCAAGGTGTTTCTGCATGAGTTAGGCCCAGGTTCTGTGAAGCACTTGCAGACACTCTCCTTTACCTGTGCTGTCTCTGGATTCTCTTTAATCAGCTCTGGTGTGCACTGGACCCACCAGAATCCAGGGAATTGGCTGGAGTGAGCTGGTGTTATATGGAGCAGTGGAAGGGCAGCATGCAACCAACAGTGAAATGCCAGCTAAGTTTCACCAGGCATGCCTCTAAGAGCCCAGTTTATTTAACCCTGAACAGCCTGACAGCTGAAGACACTGCTCTTGCCTTGCTGGAGACACAGTGAGGAGAAGTCAGCGTTTTCCCAGAGACAAAGTTTCCTAGAGCAGGGACTGAGGCCCCAAGGGGCTGTTTAGGGCTACTGAACACCAGGGCCGTCCCAGGAGCAGGGCTGGTTTTCTGTGCATATTCTTCTTCTTGTAAAAGTTTCTCTCAGTCATGTTTTCTCAATTCCTGATTCTGCACTCACCTCTGAACTCTCTAAGTTAGAAAAGTCTGAGGTAAAGGGAGACATCATTCTCACATGAACAAAAAGCAGAGCCTCTTGCAGACTCTCTTGTTCCCGACTCCAATAAATCATGAATTTATCTGACCTTCATCAGCTGAATCTACCCAAAGTCTCTGCTCATCTCTATTGTGCAGTCAAACCCCACACAGATCAGTGTCCAGGATGGCCAACAGCAGGACATGTGAACATGGGACAGTGAGCACCAGAATCATATGAACTACCCCCCAGAGAGCAATGGCCCCTGCTGGTGACAGTCATTGACTGGAAATAATAGTCACAGCACCAAGTGTCTGTGACATCACAATGGGTAGAAGGTCCCACAACAGCTTTGTGTGGATGTCCAGACTGACCATACAGACACCAAGGGGAAAATGACTGTTTATCACACACAGAATTGAACACTCTGGGAAAGACAGGAAAGGCCCTTCAACAAGTCAGATTTTTATAGTAACTCCTGGTAGCAGCATCCAGTTGGTTACTGTGGTATGAACCAGAGGCAAATAATACTAGGTCAAGGTTATCAATCGTAGTCGCTAAGACACCTACAAGACATTCTGAATTTCCCCAGTAGAGATGGAACGTGTGAGCACAGTCCTGGAACTCAGTCCTTTCTCCTTCCTGTTCACTCAGCCCCACACCCTTGACTTAGCCTCCCTGGAATTTGGGATGATTTTTCTTTTCTTCTCTTCAATTCCTGTTGATATTCTATATTTCACTTTATGTGAGCTTCTAGCCTACAGAAGAGTGGTCAGACATTAATACAATGTTTGATGTGATGGCCCAATACATCCAGTACCCACCTGGTACCACTCAGGCTTTTTTACACTATTATTGACTTTATTGACTGTGCTGTTCTTTATATCCCTATGTTTAATCTGCAACTTCCAGTTTGTAATTTTTAATCTCTTTTCTTTTTACCCCAGGCTCCCAACTCTCCTCCCACATAGAAATCCCCATTCTATTCTTGGTGTCTATGTGTCTGTTTTTATTTTGCTAGTTTATTTATTTTGTTCTTTACATTGTCCATGTAATTGAGCTCACATTGTATTTGTGTATCTTTCTACGACTTACTTCATTCAGCATAATACTCTCTAGGTCCCTCCACATTGTCAAAAAAGAAAAGATTTCACTTTGTATGGCTTTTTAGAGGTGATGGATTAATTTTCAAATCAGTAAGCTGGCCAGAAAGTCATTTTTCATTTGAACCAATGTGTTTATGGATTTGTATATGTTGAGTATGCTGGTTATCATCCATAATATAACATTGATTATTATTATGTGTTGTGCCAATTCCATCACCATCAACTTCAGCGGGTTTGCCTGAATATGGAGCATTGTCCAGTGAGACATTCCCACCACAAAGCATCACAAACCACTTGTGATATATTTCCTTACTCACAGCACCACCTCCATACACAGAAATAACTGTTTTGTGTTTAAGTTGTGATTATATCTTCCTTGATATAATGAAGCATAATATTCCAAAATGTTGTATATGTTTCTATCTTCAATACAAAAGTGACTGCATAAAAATTCACCAGTTCTGATAATTTCTTAAAATGAATGTTGAATAGTACAGCTGTCACAAATATCAAACAAAATTATATTAAATGAAGATAAAGCAAGCTATGCACTACTAGAATTATCTTACAGGAAAAAAAACAAATTAATTTTTGGCCAACCTATTGTGCTAATGAC